GATGGCATGAAACGACGTTCTTCAGGCGTCGGAATAGTTATGATATTTGTCACCCCAGGCCTGCCGGCCTAACTGTAGCTAACAATTAATGTGCAGGATTGTCAGTCCCGTATAGATCTATACACAAATTCACGCTCTTCCTCAAGGAGACTCTGGTTATTTTCAGGGCTTGGTTGGTACTTAGGTAAGTACTTGAAGTGTGTCTTACAAAGCTATACTGACGGTTACGTGTAGAATAACTGTATATATGTTACATAAACTATACCTAATATAGTTTATATGTTTGTTACTGTAGTGAAATCTGAACTTAGTAAAAATAGCACTTATGTTCCATAAACTATACCAATTATAGTTTATATGTTCGTTTGTATTATATCTCTGTATTTAGTAACAATGTTATAAGTGTTCCATAAACTATACCTATTATGGTTTATAAGTATGTTCTTGTATCGTTTCTTGAATTAGTAGAATAGTAAGGATGTTCCATAAACTATACCTATTATAGTTTATAAGTGTGTTCTGTTTGTAATGGAAATACTTTTCAAATTTCTCCTTTGCTCAGCATATTACAAAGGTTTAAAGGTTTGTACTCATATATATATATATATATATATATATATATATATATATATATATATATATATATATACGCTTAGGTTATTCTATTCAAAGTAATTATTGTCTTATTGTATGCATAAATGTGGGCCAATCAATTTTACTTATTTTAAGAAAGTGAACAATACATATTATTAAATTAAAGATAATTAGAAAATACCATCTAATTTCATTTTAAGGGTATTTTAGTCAATTAACATAAATTTAAAAAAGGAAAATTGCATATTTTAAGGGATAATAGATTCTATTAATTTTAAAAATCTGATTGTAGTGATGATAATTCTCGGATATTCTGACAGAATATATTTATCAAAAATAAAAATATTCTTGAACCATAAAATAATAAAAATATTTTTGAACCTATTTCTTGATCATAACTTTAAAAACTTCTTGGAGAATAACAAATTCTTGAACCATCAATTAAAGAATAAAAACAAAAATTACATTAATTCTTATAGAATACGGGTAACAATTGCTAAGAATTACATTTATTGTTAAAAAATAAAACTAAAAAAACTTTCAAATCGGGAAAAAAACATCAAAATCTAACAAAGACACTAATACATTCTAAAAGAATAATGTTGCTAAGAATCACTTTCAATTTCATGGTCCATTCTTCAAACATCAGCTGCTTCTGTGGAAACAAATCCAATGCATAAATCAGTGAGAAAATATCCATATTCCATTCCAACAGAATTGGAATTTGTAATTCCATTCTGATAGAATTGGAATTCAAGATTCAGTTACGGTATGCATTCTATCGGAAAAATATCCAAAGTAAAAAACAATTTAATGAGAATGATACTGTTAGACATTCCAAGATAGAAACTCGTTCATTTTCATCAGCAACATCTAACTCTCCAAGTTCAGAAATTAGTTGATTTTGGCTCTCAACCACCTGTAGAAGTATAATCCAATTTAAAAGTAAGAACACAAAAATAAAGCTACTATTGCATTACAGATAATACCACAACAAAAACAACGAAACCCTAAATCCCATAGGAATTGTGTAAAAGGGAGGGTAGATATGGCCCCAAAACCTTCAAATCAACTAAAACCATGGTGGGAAATTTTCTGTAACCCTCAACATTTCACTTATAAGGGAACTCTCAGTTCACATCATAACTAATGCGAGGCAAATTACTGATTCCAACTTATAAATAATTACAGGAACCCTGTAGAACTAGTCCTTATTTCCCACTTCTCACATAAAACTCCAATTCCGATAAAAGTTAAAGTAATTGCATTGCCCTAGTTGAATATGAGGATGGTGAAACAATAGATTATGTGCAGTTAAAAGTTCGTTGACCTAAATCGAACAATCAAACAACCAGTCACGCAGATTAGGGTTTACCAGATAGGTCTCCTCATCTGAATTTGATCAAATCTATTAACTAGCTAGAGTAATTTGTTTTTGTAAATTCGAACAATCAATAAAACGCAAACGGAATCTGTAAATGATAGCAGTATGCGGTGTGCTTTTGCTCCGAATGAAATGAGACGAAACCCACACATATTTTATGAATTAAAGTTGGAGTTCAATAACAAAATATACAGATACCAGGTGAATGGGGCGAAGGAGAAGAAGGAGGGGTTTCTAGCACCCTGTCTTGAAGGGAAAGAAGAAGATCGAGATCATCACCGTGTGTTGACATGATGGATTCCATGGCTTGTCTGATTCATCTGGTTCAGACGAAGAAGGCACTGGTAGCAACAATAGCGTCGCAGCAGGTAACAGAGGCGGGCTACATATGATCATAACAATGAACAAAGGCGATCACTCATCGAGCCCAAAAGGAAAACGTCAACGAACGATCATCGAGAGCCTGATTAGCATAATACCACCAGAAAACGATAGCGGGTCGTGTATTCGATCTTGTTCACTTTTGGTGGTTTTAAAAAGTCGACGATGGATGGAGAAAACCTAGGTAGTTGAAGTCAATGGTTACCATAATTATAGGATATTATTTGTGGAAACTAATTATCAAATTACCTATTTACCCTTATTTATTTATTTAATTATTTGTTTTTATTTTAAATTTTGATTGACCCATATTTATGCATACAATAACACAATAATTACTTTGAATACCTGAACCTAGCTCTATATATATATATATATATATATATATATATATATATATATATATATATATATAGGACATATATAATTGAAATTAAAAAGATAGTCGGACAAGTGAATTTTCCCTAAGCTCACAACCAAACAAGGAACAGAAGTTAAGGCGAAAACATCAGTCCTAAGTCTGTTGAATCTCATATATATATATATATATATATATATATATATATATATATATATATATATATATATATATATATATATATATATATGTTTTGGTAAAAACAATAGTTGAAACAGTTGAAATAATTTATAATAGCTTGAAACAGTTTGAAATAGTTTGAAACGTCTGAAATAGTTAGAAGTCATTTGGATGTTAACACAAAATTTAATTGTGTTGTACTTGTATTCCCCCCTAAAAACATGGAAAAATAGTGAAAACGTAGGGGTATGAACTCACATCGAATGCAAGTTCATGTTTGAATGCGAAGTGGTAGCGATGATCCTCGGGTTAGAACCTGTGTGCGTAATCGTGTCCTAATAATAATTATACACGATATCGCATTTAAATTAATAAGATATTAATTTAAATAAATTAAATTATAAATTAAGTGTTAGACAACACTTAACTATGTAAGAAATACTTACAAAAGGTGTTAGGAATTAATTGAGGGGGTTTCTTGGCGTTTTCTGTGTAAGCTTGGGTGTTTTCGGTGTAAGCTTGAAGACTTGAAGATTGTTCTTGGTGTTCTTGGTGAATTTATGAAGATTTGAAGGTGGGATGATGATTTCGGTTGAATATTCGAAGATTGTTGATAAAATCTCTTGAAGATTTGAAGGGTTTTCGGATGATACTTGAGAGCAAACGGGAGGTGTTTGAAGCCTAGAAAGTGAGAAATGAATTGGGTTCATGGTTGAAAGCACATATATAAGAGGTTTTCGGCCTTAATGGGCCTTAAACCTTTTTGTTTTCGGTCCTATTTGACCGAAATCTCTCTTGATTTCGGTCCTAAGGTCAAAGGGAAAAGAGTTTGCGGTTTTGAGTCAAAGAGTGAAGTGATTTCGGTCAAGGTCTTCTAGAAGTGGGTGTTTGCGGTTTGACCTTTCCAAAAGCAAGAGTTCACGGTTTGGTTTTGGGATTAGATTCCCAAAACTAAAAACTACTTTTACACCTTGTATTTTCATGATTTAAACTAAGTATTAGGCTCTTGTATGAAGAATCGAAACCCTTATTTGAACTAGTGTAAACTTTGATTGAATTAGTGTGAATTTTATTGACTTATAGAGACTCGAAATAAGGGTTGTTACAGTAATGCAGGTTTAAATTTGTAACTTTTAATTTTTATGTTTTTTCAATTGGTAATCTATTTTAAAATTTCTAAGTTTTAATGTTTAATGTGATATTTTTTTAAGTTTAATGTAATTTTTTTATTAGTAAAATGTCAAATTATGTTTTTTCCTTTTAATCTAATGTCAAAAAAAAATATAAATAATAAGGGGGGTAACAATTTCCAAAAGGAGTGGTGTGGCATTAAGAATGTTATGAACATGATGTGGCCGTATTTTTCTACTAACTACACTGTGTTAGCCTTAAAAAAATATAAATAATAAGGGGGTAACAATTTCAAGGAACCAAACCGATCAAAGTTACATAACCGTTGCTTTTATACAAAATCTTTTTCAAGTTTTTTTTTTCGTGAGATCAGACTATATTGGCTTTTTATTTCTCCTATAAACGTTTAAATGTTAAAATAAAAATAAACTTTTATGGATCAGAGTAAACCCAAAACAACACGTAAAATATCTTTTTAACAACCAAGGTATGGTCATGGGAGCACATTCCTACAAATGAAATGATTTCATATGACGTTTGATGTCTTGTACCTAACCTTTTCAACAAAACTCAATGTCTAATCTCTATTATATAATAATAATAATAATAATAATAATAATTAAAGTTTAAACTATTCAATCAACATATCAATCCAAAACAACCATTCTTTCAAATAAAACCCTTTGACAAGAATAAATACCATATATTAATGGAGAGTGCTCGGACCATTGGTTATGATATTCAATCAAAAGTTGAAGTTTAGTTTCGATTCACATAACAAAATAGAAAAGTTACCACTTACGTCTAACATGTTTCAATTTTCACCGCCAAAATTGATAACAAAAACATACAAAATAACATATTTATGCAAGATAAGTGCAAAAGGCAATCAATTGCCAACGAATTATGTAATATAATATAATAGTAGAAAATATAGGTTTATTAAAAAAGGGAGAAAAGACAATTCAGAAGCATGAAGGTAGAGAAATGGCTGACAAGGGAATGGAAGGGTACAAATTCCATTCCAAACCAACAACTTTAGCCCTCTTTTATTGATTTTGAATAAAAGAGACAAATTCAAACCATTCCGCATAATCCCAAAAATACCCTTCCACTTTCCCTTTTACAACAAAAACAACCCCACGCCGTATTTATTCTTTACTACCCACCCCCATTTTTTTCAAAGAAACAAAACCTACCCCACAACAAAAAACTATTTCAAAATTCAAAACCTTGGATCCCCTTTTATTTTTTTTCTTCATCCCTCCTATACTACTATTACTATTCAAATTCCTACAATTATGTTTCCTATCTACTACCCTTTTGACCTTCAATACGTCCATTCTTGGGGGAGGACGACTTCGGAGTGTCCCATCGGCGTTTCAGGGACGACACTCACGAGGGTGGCGCTCCACCGTTGCTGGGCTAACATCGCAGCGTTCCTTCGAGCAATTGCAATTTCTGCTTGGTAACCATGTTTCAAGATGTTAATGAAGGGGAAAAAATACAGATGGGATCATGAATGTGACTTGAAAGAGAACTTGAAACTACCGTAGTGTGGGGCAAATCCGCCATGGATGGTTGGTTGAGCTTGTGCCTTAATGGGGTCCATGTTTTTGGTGAATGACGGAGCCACTCTAGCTGGCAGATGAGCAGGCGAACATGCTGTGAAACAATTAATTACAAATAAAATATTAAGTTAATGATGTAAAACAGCAACAAATAAAATATATGATGACGGAATAGATCGATCTGAAGAGAGATATTTAAGAAGACGAAGCTGGTTTACATGTAATGGATTTTGAATTTTTAATTGCAAAAGTAAACGACAGAAATAGAGCCAAAAAAACAAATATCATCGGTACCAGAATTCAAATTTTGAAAGTGTTTTTGTAAAAGAAACGAAGAGTCGGAATGTGAACTCACCAGGTTTTTTCTTCATTTCCTCTGGATCATTACAGTATCTACGGGGCAAAAACACGCCGGTACCGGCACATTCCCTTTTGACAACGGCGGTCCCACCGCCACATCGGCCACCAGATCCGCCAAGAACAGGTTTGGCTATGACCCCATTCGGGAGTTGATGAAGGCGTTGATTTTCAACTGGGAGCGGAGGCCATGGAGACTGACGAAATCCCGCCGGCCGGCCACCTCCACATCGACCTCCGCCTCCAGCCACTCTCTGACGAAATTGTTGCTGCCTTATAAACAATTCGCTTTCTGTCCTCCATATCGCACAGTTAGAATGATGATGGTGAGAGGGAGGAGGTCCAAGGGGACGTGGGGCTCCGACTAGACCTCTGTTTGTAAAAACGTTGTCTCCGACGTTATTCATCCTCATCTTCATCCTCGCCACCTGACCTGCCGCCGCGTAAACTAGATCCCAAGAGTGTTTGTCTGCTTGAACTAGCGGTGTTGTCGGAGAGGAATAACTCTTTGTAGGCCCAGAAACAGTCCAGTTCAAAGTAGATTCCGGCGAACCAGAGAAAACCCTCTTCTAATCAGACAAAAAACCACACCCAAATTAGAAAAATAATATAGAAAACAAACGACCTAACAACACTAATTTAGAAAGAAGACGAAAGTACCTCAAAAGGGTAAGGAGTGTTGATACGCTCTTGTAAGGAAACAGAGCGAGTGTAGCGGCGAGTTACGCCGGCGATGTCATCTTCGTCGCTCTCAGACTCTGTGGAAGAAGAGGAGGCGAATTCGTAAGGGAAAAGGTGCGGATTGTGATTGTTGAGAAGGAGGGGAAAGTTGTCCTCGTCGGTGAGAAAGTCGGACGGCAGCCATGAAGCAAGGTCGGCGAGAGTGTCAGACATTTGGGAAATGGAAGAAGTGAGTGAGGGTGGGAGGGAGTTTGCTGGATGGAGAAGATATTATAATAACGAGGGATTAAAGAAAATTGAAGAGAGTGGAGGGAATGTTCAAGAGACAAGATTGCTTTTTATCAAGGATTCCAGGGTTTTTCCTTTTCTAAAATAATAATAGTGAAATCATAGATTTGGATCTAAAATCATTATTTTTTTTTAACTTAGTTTTATTATTCCAACATTGTGCGCGGTTTTAAAATCACTATTAACATCGAACTAGGGTTTGGATCATCCGTGCGTTGCTGCGGAAGATCCGGTATGTTAAAAAAAGCAATTTGACACCATATATACAACGAAGACGATTAAATCATATAAAGTGGAGCACAAAAATATCAAAATAAAACATGGATACAAACAATTGACTTGAAAGTGTATATTTAAGAAATTAATAAAAAAAGATTATTAAAAAATTATATAACGGGCCAAAATGTAACTTTAAAATATAGTAAGGGACCAAATTATAATGTATAAAATACTAATAATTAGCTTTAAAATTATAAGGGTTGAAAACTGTTAAATAAAAATTAATTAAGGAAAAAGATTATAAATATATATATAAATTTTAAAATTATAAGGATAAAAATTGTTACATCAAAATTAGTTTAGGGAGACAAAATATAAAAATAAATAAAAGTAAAGGGAGGAAAATGAAAAAAGAATTGAAAGTAACAGAAGAGTAAATCCTCTCAAATACCAATTTTAGTAATTAATATATATATATATAATTTGCTATGGCCAAATACTAAATCTCTATTTTCAAAAGACTTATTTTATATTTTGTCTTAAATGCATCAGAATATATAACTTAATTTGATTTTAGACATTTTGATTCTATACATCTATACATAGTAAAATGAAATGAATAGTAAAAGCTCTCACATCACCAATTTGGTAATTAATATATATATAATATGTTAGTACATTTTAATTTAATTATATGTAATTCTAAAAATATAAATATCTTGATATTTCATTTCTGGTATGATAAATATTGATTTTCTAGTAAATTAGTAACCAACTATGAGATTTTGTCAATAATAGTAAGTCTATATCAAAATTTATAATTTTTGCACTCAATGGACATTATATTGATGTATAAAATATAATTTTTTTTCAAAACTTTATATCAGATTCACAGTATGAATAATAGTAAGTCTTACATTGTAAATGCTAAAAATTGAATTATATACACTACACATTCACAATGAGAATAAATGCACTTGTGAATTTTATAAAACCAATTTATGAGTAATCAAAACGTTAAAAGAAATTATAAAATTACAAGGAAATATATTTTTATTCATATGTAAATTTCACTAAATTATTTGTAAATTATAAAAAAATTGAAATAATAACTAAGATTGATATTGTGAATGCTAAAACTAAATTATTTATAGTTCAGATTCATAGTGTGAATCCGGCCAGATCATTGTGATTTTTTTAATATCGATGTTGATGTCTATTTATAGAAGACAAAAAGATGAGAATTTTGGTGTATTTAGTTTTTTTTTTATAAAAAATACACATAAATATTGGAAAACCAACAAAACGAAATGTGTTTTTTTAAATTTGTTTTTTATATATTAATATGGATGTCTATTGAAATATGATAAAAAAAAATTATGAATTTTGGTATATTCGGTGTTTTTCGATAAAAAAAAACAAAAACCTAAAAAAATTAAACGAAAAAATGAAGTATGTACCGTCCCAAAAATACTAAGTAAAAAATTTTGTTTTAAAAACAACCAAAACATTCATTCATTCATTCCCAAAAGATAATCAAAGTGTAATGTATTCTCAAAACATCAAATATCAGTCGTAAAAGATAATGCATAAAAACTCTAAAGATGTAGTACGATCAAATCGGGTCCTTCCCTTTCGAACCAGAAGTACGTGAAACATTTAAACATAAAACTGTAAGCACAAATCTTAGTAAGTTCTCCAAAATACCACATATCATACATAACATACAAATGTGTGAATGGTGTGGTCCTCCCACAGTCTTACAGTCACTCACTGTTGCAGTCCTCCTGTAGTCTTCGTTGTTATGGTCTTCCCATAGTCTTCCATACAGGTGTTGTGGTCCTCCTATGGTCTTTCATACAAGTGACATGGTCCTCCTATGGTCTTTTATGCTAAAGTTACAAAGACAGTCTAGCAACGGACATAGTATAGTGAAAAGACTCGCCTCACACTCGAATCGGATATACCACAGCTCGTATAAACTAAAACTAGTGCTACAACCCACCTATCGAACCACTTAATGTCAAACCTTAGTCTACACTCTAAATCCAGCAATTTGACCAAAATTCAACCATGTCAACAAGTCAACGGGCAAAGTCAGCGCCAGCTGACCTCTACGTCGTGGCAATCATGCCACCACGTCTAGCAACTACACAGGGACAACCTAATGGATTAAGCTCTTAACCCTAATCCTAAGAACTGCAAAGCTTAGATCTCAATCTCATCAAGGTCTTGATGGATAAAGTTTCCAACTTTAATCATTAAGACATCCTAATAAGTCAAGATCTATAATCTTAAGCTCTTAATAGTTGTACTAAGGGCATGGACACCAAACTAAGTAATGCAAAACCATTTTCCAACCAACACCACTGTCTATAAGCCAAATAATGTACTCAAATGCCTTGGAGTTTACTTAAACTCTAAAGACAAGAAGATTGGGACCAAAAAGTTCATAAAATGACCTAAAAATAGATCTAAAGAACTAATGAGCAAGGTTGAGACATTATACCTCCAAAAGGTCAGAAATATGATGAAGATGTTGGATATAATCTAGAACCAAGCTCACAAACCACAGTATGGAATCCTTATTCCTTCAATCTTCACAAAGATAGATTCACACCCTTAAAAAACACACAAAGAGGTTAGGGTTTGTGTGGGGGTCGATTTTAGGGGATGGAGGATGCCAAATAAGGCAGCCATAGGAGTTAGTGCCTTTAAATATTACACTAATCCTGCAATATATGGGTTTTGAATCCCAGCCACCACCACGTCGTGGCAAAGGCCTCTTCACGTCGTGGTGATTCGCAAATGCGCATTTTCTGAATCGATTCGCTTCGTCGTAGTCATCCCATCATCACGTCGTGGCCAAGCCAACATCCCAAAAACTTGGATTAAAAGAAATTAAACCCGAAAGAATCATACGTGAAGGCGGATGTTACAAAGTAATTTTTTTGGTATAATCTGGTGCATATGCGTCCAATGTACAAATTTGCAACGCTTCCCTTAGTCGTTAATCATTATAATTTTGTGACAACCCGAAACTTTTCCCGTTAACGTTAGCCCGATTCCAATAAATAAATTTTGAATTTTATTTTGTTCCGTCAAATTTTCTATAAGCTTGGAAAATCATTAATTTATATAAGATCGTCTTATACATATGAATCGGAACCAAAATCGCGCTGAAACCCAAGCTACTTCGAAAATCAATAGTTTTCGGCCTAAGTGATGTTCACGACCGTAAACCCGTTTACGGCCGTAAACTCGTTCACGGCTAGTGACAGGTGGCCCCCACCACCGACCATGAAACCCCCATATAAATATGAGCCCCTACCCCTCATTTATACTTTTCTGGCCGAAAATTTCCCCCATTCTCTCTCTAACCTCTCAACCGTAAACACCAAAATAACCCCTTTTCTTCCGAAAATCATCAAGAAACACCTTTAGGTGTTGTTGCGGGGCATCTAAAACGCGTTTTTCATCGAATCCAATGTCATTGTTATTGAGTTTACGACCGTACACCCTTCAAATCTTCAAACCTTCAAGGGCCGCAAACCGTTCACGGCCGTAAACCCTTCAAAGATTCATAATTCATTCAAGAACACCGTTCATGGACGTAAACCCTTCAAGGGGCTGTTCACGGCCGAGAACAGTTCACGGTCGGAAACCTTTCACGGCTGCAAACTCCCTCGCACCTTGAATCTTGGCCGCAAATCCACTTTTTCCACTTCGATCGAGCCTCGGATTCCGTTAGCTTTGCGTACAACAAACTCGAGGGTCATCATATCCAGTCTCGTGGTCCGACACGCACACACAACCAACGGTGAGTTCATACCCCTATATTTTACAAGCTTTTTTTATGTTTTTGAGGGGGGGGGGGGAATACAATTAAAAGCATAAGTAATCTTGTGTTTAATAATATAATTTGGTTTATTATATTTTCGTATCATTAGTACACATTCAACGTAGAACTTACTAAACATGATAAACATAGTTACTACTAGATTTGCGGGCAGTTTTATAAACATGTTAAGATACAAACGTTGCAAATACAGTTTTCAAACTAGGAAACAAACTTATAAATTATGAAATAAAAGGTACTATTTTATAAGGATTCATATTAATAACAAAAAGGGTTTTCATAGTATTATTTGTGGATTCGTTGAGAGAACTATAGTGTGAGACATGTCTTCTGGAAAGTCTACCCCTTGTAACCAGAATCTCCTGGAGGGAGAGCGTGAGTTTGTGTATAGATCTATACGGGAGTGACAATCCCGCACCCTGACTATTAGCTGCAGTGAACCTAGGGTGACAAACGTCATTCAGTTCACGACGTCTGAAGTACGTCGTAATGTTTATCGTCCATTGTATGGTTATAAGAACTCACAGGGGAAACAACGACTCATTCACGTAATAATATTATAACATCCCAAAATTTAAGGCCAAAAATTTCATTTTTAATTAAGTAACATGAAAAATCATTTGTCAAAACATTGCTAATATTATATTAATTCATAAAACCTTTATGTCGTGTCTCGAACACATATCATCGGATAATAATAAAATCAGAGTACAATCCCATAGATCTCAAAATGCGGAATCCCGATGTGCGTGTGATGTGTCGCTACCGTGCCGGCTCCTTCCCCTTCGCTGAAGAGGTACCTGAAACAAAACTGAAAATTGTAAGCACGAAGCTTAGTGAGTTTCCCCATCATACCACACACCATACAATAACATACTATCAAACAATTTTGGGGTGCCTGACTACCCAGGTCAAGCCATTCTGGGGTGCTTGACTTACCCAGGTCAAGCCATTATGGGGTGTTTGACTT